CTCCAGATGGTTGTTCTTCACAGGCTAACACATCGCTAAGTGAACGGTCTAAATATTCAAAACATTTTCTGTCACTCATTGGTGCCTCGTCCCATAGTATTAGTGTTGTTTGTTGTAAAAGATCGCCAAGGAATGTACGCTTTTTGATGTCACATGATTTTTGTTGTTTAAATCGATCGGTATTTTGAACCTTGAGTGTGCGGTTGTACCGGACGGTAAAAGAAGCGATGCTATTCCGGACGCAGCGACAACCAAAGCATTTTTTCCCAGAGATCTCAAGTGGGAAAGAATGGCCGTCCATAGAAATGTTTTACCAGTTCCAGCGTGTCCATACACAAATATTAGTACCTGTTTGTTGTTGTCAATGGAAGAGAAAACATTGTCGTAGACTAATCGTTGATGGTGATTTAGCTTTTGTACATGCTCACTGTGCTGTTTTCGTAATTCTTCCTTATCATAGCTCATTTATTCCAATAACAACCGATTTTGTAGAACGCCAGTCACATAGACTGACAGAACAGGAAGCCCACAGTCTCTCATTGATTTTGAAGGCACAACAGACCGGAGCATGTCATCTAAATCATGAAGTAATTGTTGTTCAACAATCCCAGCCAAAGAGGTTACTATCTTATCTGTTACCTGAACACTTACGGTATGCATATAATCATCTTTCATCCTATCGAAAGCAGCGTTCCACATCAGAAGTGGATTGCTGACCTCACAGAAAAAGAGCATGTGACAGAAAAGTGATCGTAGCTGTGAGGCGGTAGCCCACATTGCAGCTTCTGTAAAACACGTCAACCACTCAACATCATCACCTATTAATTGAAGTGCATTACAGGCAGCTCTGAAAGTTGGATATATAGTTCCAGCTATAGTACGCAAATCCTTAAACAATGTACATCCATTCTGGTGACACAGCAGCATCCGTAAATAGAACAATTCTCCAGAAGTAGGATGTATGAATACAAGGCGGCCTACCATTTTTGATGATTCATGGACTCGCCGATCCCAGGATTTACTCGACTTATCCCATTTGTACTTTTTTGGATAATCCAAGTATGTCAAATCATGACCTTGATTGCCCCTTGAATTGCTATTGATCCAGCCAAGAAGGGTAGTAGTGCTCGCATATGGATTAGATAACACCTCAAGTATGGAACTCTCCCCATTGAAGACCATTTGTTGCATATTTTCTTCATGAACTGTAAGAACCTGAACTGGTGGATATCGATGATGTATGTGAAAGTCGAATATCTGCCACACTGCCTCATGTGAACAAATATATCGCCCATCCAAATAATTTTGGACCTCATTTATTGGACGACAATCATGATTTGTCGATCCCTGATAAGTGGCAGTAGGCACTGAGGTAGATGCGGCATCGGTATTTCCCTGTTTTTTGATAGTGTATTTTACACGATCTGCACCTTTGGAAATATACTTAAATAGATACTTAATCAACATATTCCAGCCACAATACTCCACATTTATATGTGCACGGAACCACGAACATAGTCTTTTGTTGTATGGTACAACATATCCATTATCAACAATCTGTCCAAATTGAGTAGTGTGGTGTGCAGTCGAAGTACGTTTGTAACATACATATCCATTTGTGTCAAAGAATGTAGCATCGAGAAACGGTTTGGGAAAGTGTTTATTACATTTTCCTTCCTTCATACATGCTGCCTTTTGGTTAAGTGGTCCGCATGGGTCGTGGATCATACAGGTTGTTATGGTATTGTACAAATTTGACTCATTAACCGGATCCGGCAGCTCGTCTGTTATATAGTTATCAACATCACTCGGAATTTTTATACGGTCCTTTGCTATACCCATAGTAATGTATGACAATGTGGAAGTCCTCTTTTTTGGAATTCGATAGTGTAAAGATCTGCAATAATGTAGATTTAAAATGGACATTGAAAATTAGATATATATACAAAGGTAAAATAAACAAATAGTACATATCCGTAACAACAGATAAAAGGGTAAGATATATATACAAATGTATATTTGAAAGTAACTACAAAACTAATGAACAGACAAAAACAACTTTACGCATGAGAATTTGTGTAAAAAAACTACCTGCTATATTTTTATAAATAAATCATAACAGGGATAATTTTGGAACAACATACAACAAATTTAAATGGCTGAAGTTAACGGAATCGGGTCAATAAGATGGTATATATGATACAAAAGATATTGGAAATCAAATATAATTTTGTTTACGTAACAAAATCAAAATAATGAAGGAGGCAGAAAGTGGTGAATGAGAACTTATATTCTACAAAAAAAAATATTAGAAAGTAAATAATGTTTATTTCAGTTATAACTCATTCAACATTGATTGTGCAAAAGTATCCCTGTGGTATGTATGTGTGTTTCTGTGTTTTACTTTCTACATAAGGAAGAAGGTTAGAGTCATATTCCCAAACTACCCTTGAAGTATGTGTGTGTGTTTCTGTCTTTTACTTTGTACATAAAGACTAAGGTTAGGCAGTGAAATACGTGAGGTAATAACAGAAATGTACAATAGGTAGAGGTTAAAAAAACATATCTTTGTTAAAAACAAATACATGAGAATACAACAACATACAATTGAATTTAATTGCTAAATTCAAGTGGGTCAGCTGAATATGGAAGTATATACGATACAAAAAGGTTTGACAATCATTTAGTTAACTGACAAAATGAAAATGATAAAGAATGCAGAAAGTGTTCAATATGAAATTATATTTAACAATCAGTCAAATTCCATAACAACCCTTGCAGTATGTGTGTGTGTTTATGTTTTTTAGTTTCTACATAAGGAACCTTATGCAATAAAATGTGTGAGGTGATAACAGAAATGTGGAATTGGTAAATGGTGAAAAGAAAAGCATATGTTTTTGTAAAAAAACTTAAATAGATAAGAGTGTAGTAAGATACAAAAGACTTTAATTGCTGAATTCAACGGAATATGCTGAATAAGGAGGTATATATGATACAAAAAAATAATGAAAATAATTTTGTTACTCAACTAAATGAAAATAATAAAGAAAACGCAAACTACAAAATAAGAAGATATATTTAAGAAAACAAAAAACTTAAAAGTAAAGAAGCTTTTTTTTTCAGTTAGAAGACACAAAACTGTAAAATTCCAAAACTACCCCTGCAGTATGCAAGCTGATTTAAAACCATGTAAATATTTTGACTTTTAATTCCATATTTATAAGATCTGTGAATAAATACAAAAAGTAAGTTGAAACATGGGAAACAGGTGAAGGTAGAAAAAAATGCGTGTTTATAACCGAATTAAACAATAAGAACAGCGGCAGACAATCTACCATAGAGGAAGATGTTGATCATGTGAAAATAATACAAAGACACAGGGGTATTTAGAATTGTTTTTTTTATAAAAGAAAATAATAGTACATTTACTAACAAAAAATACCAATTTCAATTATATATTATTTTCGATATATAAAGTAACTGCATAAGTCATAACAATCCTGCAAACAGGGGAATGTATTAATGCGATGAAAATTTTCAATATTGGAAAGTAAATAATGTTTATTTAAGTTAAAATTTATTCAACATTGATTGTGCAAAAGTGTCCCTGTGGTATGTATGTGTGTTTCTGTGTTTTAATTACCACATAAGGAAGAAGGTTACAATCATATTCCCAAAGTACCCCTGAAGTATGTGTGTGTGTTTCTGTCTTTTAGTTTGTACATAAAGAATAAGGTTAGGCGGTGAAATCCGTGAGGTAATAATAGAAATGTATGATGGGTAGAGGTTAAAAAAAAACATATCTTTTTTAAAAAATAAATAAATACATGTGAATACAACAACATACAATTGAATTTAACTGCTGAATTCAAGTGGGTCAGCTCAATATGGAAGTATATACGATACAAAAAGGTTTGACAATCATTTAGTTAACTAACAAAATGAAAATGATAAAGAAGGCAGAAAGTGTTCAATATCAAATTATATTTAACAAACAGTCAAATTCCATAACAACCCCTACAGTATGTATGTGTTTGTGTTTTTTAGTTTGTACATAAAGAAGCTTATGCAATAAAATGTGTGAGGTGATAACAGAAACGTAGAATGGGTAAAGGGAGAAAAGAAAATCATATCTTTTTGGAAAAAAACTTAAATAGATAAGAGTGCAGTAAGATACAACAATTCCAAAACTACCCCTGTAGTATGCAAGCTGATTTAAAACCATGTAAATGTTTTGACTTTTAATTCCATATTTATAAGATTTGTCAATAAATACAAAAAGTAACTTGAAACATGGGAAACAGGTGAAGGTAGAAAAAAAATGCGCGTTTATAACCGAATTAAACAATGAGAACAGGGGCAGACAATCTACCATAGAGGAAGATGTTGATCATGTGAAAATAATAGAAAGACACAGGGGTATTTAGAATTGTTTTTTATAAAAGAAAATAATAGTACATTTAGTAACCAAAAATACCAATTTCAATTATATATTATTTTCGATATATAAAGTAACTACATAAGTCATAACAATCCTGCAAACAGGGGAATGTATTAATGCGATGAAAAATTTTCATAAGTAAGAAGCGGATATCAAGATATGCAATCATATGTAGTCTAGAAGAACTGAAAATACGGTTAACAGAATGAGCACGGTGCGAAAGGTTTACTATAAGAAAACGAATTTTATATAGAAGATACCAATACATACAGATTCAAAATACATAAGCCAGATTGAAGAAGCCAGAAACATATATAAAAAGCGATAAAATACAGATAACATCGGATGTAATGGAAAAGAGTAGCCAAGTGGGAAACATACATGCTTCAACATCGCCAAAGGTTTTGTCCTCCTTAAGAAACCGGATGACCTCATGAACTTTTATATTGAAGACTCGAATAATTATGTCCGCTCTACTATGGGTATCGATTTGATGATGTGTTTCCATATACCGGGTGATCTCTGGCCATTTGACGTTGCATGTAAAGGTGATATAGTACTATGGATTACCATACACCCTACATATGGATAGAGCGTCTAGATAATGACTGTACATGAAACAGGGACCTCCGGTGAATGATGCTGGCAAAAAAACCCATTTTCCAATGGACCCTGCATCTCTATCACCCTTGGAAAGCGCATCGTATAGGCCACTAACACAATCCGAACGAAGATTTGATTGATGCCTTACAATGTAATCCAACCGACTTTCCTCTATACACGTATACACATCCACCAAATATTGCTGAAAGAGACATGATGAGTTGATAATTGGAGACCATATATCTGACGGGCATGGACATGGTATGCATAATACATATTTACAGTTAGATTCTGAGCATTCGCACCCCTCCGATTGCCAAGCTTTAAACAGGGAGACCAACCCTCCTCACCAAAAGGGAACAAAAGAGGATATTGTAGAGGCATATAGTTGGGATGGAGCTTACTGATGCGCTGTGGATGACCCTGTTGTGAGTGAATAATTATGTCATATGTGGTAGATGTTGTATCATCACCAGTGACTATACATCCTAACGACCCAGGTAAAGGAAGGTCATATCTACGATCCTGAATGTGATTGAATAGTCGGACAACATAAGATTCCAAATCCATTTCTTCAGCTATCTGCTTTGCGTTCTTGAAGGTCCGAACGTATTCATTACTTTCAGCTAAACCGATTTTCAACCTCGTGATCTGTATCAAATAAGTATAGCTGCAAAAACCTCGGTCCTTTTGCAGGGTCTGGCGAAAGGGACCTAATTTTATGACTAATCTGTCCGGAGACCTTAAAAACATATGGGCCACGACTATGATTGACGTCATCATCCACATTTGCCCCAGAAGAAGTCATTGAAAACATACTATTGTAAGCCCTAACATCGTTTAAAATTTTCTGACTTTCATACAGGCGAATAAACTGAGACGGAAACCTAGACGGACACGGAAGAACAACGCTACCACCTCTACAGCAATGGGTATACCTTGGGTGAGTAAATGTGGACATATTAGGAGCCTTCTCGACGTACCAGAAAAACGAACTGCAATATTCACACACCCAGGTACAGTCACCATTATCAATGTACTCAGGTAGAACGGAAAGGCCATCGAAACGTCGACACTTCCGACGACGACCAATCTGAACGGCAGAAGACGACGAAGCACCGGCGTCACGGTTCCGCTTCGAGGAGGCCGACATCATATAGATAGACGACAAGACAACAGAAATAAACGAAGCATTCAAATCACAGAAGACGAAAAATAGGAAGAAGGGATGAAAATTTATACCTTAGAAAGAGAGAGACACGATGATGAAAAAGATGATTGAGGAACATTCACGAGAAACAAACAGAAATGGAGAAGAAAGAAGATGAGGAAAGAAAGAGAAACATCCTTAGATTGCCACGTCCGTTCCATAAAAAAAATAAAGTCACAGCCTTCAGCCACGTTGAAAAGGATGACGAAAATTTGCAAAATAACCCCTCAAAATCTAACACACCTGCCAGATAATAAGAAAGAAAAATAGAGGGACGAAAGTTGGATAGATTTTCAACAGTTTACTGTTGAAATATATCACAACTTATATATATATATATATATATATATATATATATATATATATAAAAATAATAATAATAATAATAATAATAATAAGTCACGGTAAATATTAGACTAAAATCTAGTGGTAATAATAGTAGGTTTTGTCGAAGGAAATTATTTTAAAGTAAACGAATCGTTGTTCGAGTAGCGAGTCACCACCTTCTCAGGTAAGTGCATAGTCCCTTTCATCTTACACATAGATATGAAGTATTTAGTATATAATTTACATGTTTTGTGTGCATATTGCTTGAATACTTGTTGTCTATGTTTGATGAACGATTTTTATACATGTTTTAAAAGTTTAAACTGTATACGTATTTTATATCTACAAAATGTGTTGGGTAAAAACATGGGTAGATGTAATAGTTGTTGTGTGACCAAATAAAATAATAAGAGGCCTCGTTATAGATGTTATTGATGATTCAGTCATCTAGCGGAGTATAGATGACGACCACATACTATTTTAGACAGTCTAGTGGAACGCTAGCAGACTCGCAACCTGTAGGTGTTTATTTGAACTGTGTGCTCACCAGTAGTACTCCATCCCCCACATGGTTGCCTTATTTGACATGAATTGCTAAGGAACCCCCGAATCATGTGTTGTCACCCCAATGAAAGTCCTTAGACTAGGTCCCTTATATTAAATGTTTTACGAACGTAAAGTGAGGATAACGGGAACGGGTAAATGAGTTTGTTTGGTTTGATAAAGTTAATAAACTTATTTATTGTGGGTTGAAAACCCTATGTACTCACCAGGTTTCCCAACCTGACCCACTCAGTTTATTTATATCACATGTGTTGATATGAAGTTACATTACACTGAGAGATTAAGGAGATATAAATCACTAGTGATAATGAATGTAAGTTTTGTTTATGCTTATGTTTCTGTATTGACGATGACACCCCAAATGTTTTAAAATGAATAAAAATACTTTTATTTGGAAATGCTTTGATAATGTATTTATCATGTTTTATTGGGAACAAATTCCGCAACATTTTTATTAAAAGAGGTACTCTGACTTTTATAAAGCATAAACAAAATAAGTCTTTTCTGGCCGTGAAAATGGGGATGTCACATGGTTCGATGACCATATTTTTGAGCTTCTGTTTAGGAGTTATGATAGATTGCTTAGGGATATGTAGTAACATAGTTTTCATTTGTACTTGCGTTGTAAGGACAAGTTTTCCACATTTTTATAAATAAAGAAAATTTTTGATTTTGTCTTATTTTATGATATCCTTGCAATAACATTAGTGAAAATTAGTGTTTAAATATTATTAGCAATGTTGGAAATAAGTTTGATTCTTAGTCATATTATTGTGGAAATGTCATAATTTACCAAATAAGGAAGGATTCTCATCATCCAAGTTTCGATTGGATAGAAACTTGGAATCATGCGACTTGTATTGTGTGATGAATGAAAATCTTCATATTTGGGAAATTAAGATTGGTACCTTTTTCACATATGTATGTGAGTCAAATGAAGGATTAGAGGATCTAGTACTCATTGATATGCACTGGTCAGATTCACCACAAAGAATGATAAAGACTATTCGTCATGATTTACTAATGGCTCAATAAATATGATTATACTTACAAGATTAAGTGTAATTCTAATACCTTGAAAAGTTTTAACATATAGTAGAACGAATAAGAAGAACCAATTACGTAGAAAGATAAAACTTTCTCCAATATGAAAGGAAATGAGAGTACGTTAGTGTCGTGTTTTATGATCATCCTTATGATTATGGAACCATGTCACAATTGGTCCTCTAAGGACACCTTAGTGCATAAGTATGACTAAGAATAGGAATCGGGAATTGTTGAAATGCTTAAATCAAGATGGTGAGTCATACTTCATTCCAAAATCAAGTCTTAGAGTCACACCCCAAGATTGTGTCTTGAGTGACATATCCTAAGTAGGTTTATAACACATCATGAAATGTGGAGTAGAAAAGTTTTCTTACTCATGCACATTTGAGATTAGTAGTTGTGATGATTTGGATAAAATAAATACCAACTAAGACCAATTGTATGAAGTGAGTTTCTTGATAAGAATCCACACTAAATCTTGAATATTTGTTTGTCAAGGAATGTTTCTTGATAAGATAATCTTAAATGTAAAGAGGTCAGTGGGAGTCTTAATGATCTTGAATAGTTTCAAGAACTAATAAAAAATAAAACCTATTGTTTATAACTAGCACACAACTTGAGGCTTGTAACCTATCGTGTTGACATATTCTTGTATTTTTGGCCATTCCAGTTAAGTTAACTATGCATGTGAGTTCTATGAGTTCTCATTTGATTGCATGAGGCAAAGCACCTTGATCAATGAAAGTACATTGACCCGTAAGGGTGAGCTGCTCAATAACTTGGAAGCAATGGTAGCTCGTTGTGCTATCAAATGGCAAGAAACTAAGATAAGAAAGTTCAGTACATATGAGTTTGGATTTGTCATAAACCTTGTCTTATGATAATGGTTGGAAATGACAAATTCACATGGATAGGAACACATACATCATAAAAATCTAAGTGGAAAGAGGTTTCTCTCTACTTCATGAAAATGATTATGAGGAAACGCTTTCACGGGAAGATTTTAAAGAGTTAGCTGGTGTGTTGATTGCGTTCTCAAATTCGATTATGATTACGACAACCCTCTTCATAGTTCAAATTCTGAGAAATGGCAAATGGTTTGATCATTTGGTACTTATTGCTATAAGTTATGGATTAGTTTAGACACACATATGAGCTTTCTAATGAAAGGTGTATGAGCTTAAGAAGTCAATATAAAGACTTTTTAAAGCACCACATATGAGCTTTCTAAAGAAAAGTGTATTAGCTTATTTGGAATCAATCTTGGATTTAAGCATGTTATGAAGCTAAGACTTCAGATCTGGACATCTCATGGCCTCCATAGACTTAAAGTTGCTAAGTTGATCCAATCTTGGCCCTCCTTCATACCCTAGGTCCCTTGCTAAGCCTTATTTGAGTGTTTTAGCCCCTTTGATGCCATGCATGGACGTAAATTTAGCAACTTTACATGGCATCTCAGTCCCAGGGGACCAAATATGTAGTTTGGAGCATTGGATTCGCATGGAAGTGCCTGAATGCATAAAAGCTAGGATGAACTTGATGAGTTTCTCTGCCAACTCGACGAGTTGGTGAGGGTTTTCCTGCTTTCTGGATACTGAAAAACTCGACGAGTTGCTCTGCCAACTCGACGAGTTGGATCGAGTTTTCCCATCTTCTGGATGATGAGCGGAGTTGATGAAATAACTCAGCGACTTGGCTAGGGTTTCTCCCAGTTTTCTGAACACTGAAGGAACTCAACGAGTTGCTGGATACACTCGACGAGTTGGGTCAACATGGACTGTTGACCTAAGTTGTTGACTGTTGACTTTGACCATGGTTGACCAAGTTTGGCCTTGAGGGTATTTTTAGGAATTTAGGATTTTTATGGAGTTAGTCACATAGTAATCGTAGGTGGTTGGGCTCGGAGCTGTGATTCGAGAGTTGGATCTTGTCAGACAGTGTTATTTGTGAGGTGAGTTTTCCTCACTATATTAACAGGGTCGAAGGCACCAAGGCCAGTCCTTTTGGATTGTTATCCTGGTTATCGCATGGTATTATGTTTAGTGATCTGTTAGATTTGTATCCTGGTGTATAGGATAATGTTATGATTAGTGATCTGTTAGATCTGTATGATTATCTGTATATGATAGCTAACGTTTGATATCTATGTGTTGATTATGTGATTGTGGGTGGGTTGAGGCGGTCTTGCTTTGTGCTTTAGGAAAATAGACCCAGGACGGACTGGCTAGAATGAAGGCCCATTGGGGCGTACCTATCAGACTGAAGTCTTAAATAACTGTCCAGGCTAAAGGCACGGCGAGGCGGTCCAGACATGCTGAAGGTTCTGAGAGTGGGCCAGATAGACTGAAGGCCTGGTGAGGTGGTCTCCGTACGTTGGGCGTACATATATGTACACTTAGCATACATGAGTGGAAGGAATGCGGACTTAAACCACGTACGCGGGGCGTATGAAGATGTACGCGGGGCATATATGGTCATGAATTAAAACCCTAATTTTTAGGCATGAGCCCTATTTAAACTCATTTATGACCTATAGACCTTATCCATAATTATCCTCCACACCTCTAAACGTCTCTAAAACCTTAGTTTGCCTTAGAGTGTGATCTTTAAACTTGAAAGTGACCTTGTGTCCCCTTTTGATGTGTTTGCAAGAAGAATACCTTCATGTGCAAGCCTTAGATGTGGTTGGACTTCAAGATCTTGAATCTGCATCATCTAGGGAAGCTTTTAGAGGTAAAAATCTCATACCTTGTTGATCCTTTTGCTATATTGAGTAAGGGTTTGTTCATAAGCTCATTTTTTTTCCATGGATTATCTTTTTTTTTAGTTTGGGTAACTCCAGAAGCTTGTAATGTTAGATCTTAGTCCATTTGGCATGTTAGAAGCATAAAAATGCTATCTTGATGGTTTTTTTTGGCACCATGCATGGGTTTAGGTACTTAAAGTGAGTCTTAATGGACAAAATGGGATGTTGGGGTCCTATAAGGCATGCAAAGGAATAAAGTTGCCAACTTTATCTAGAAGTTGACAAAGTGGATGCATGGATTAAGCACTTAATGGCTAAGTATGCTTAGCAGCTTAGTACGTTGGGGGTACTAAGATGTATGTGTACTGCCTAAAGACCGAGTATACTAAGTGTTGTGATAATATACGCTACGCGTACGCCCAATGGGTTGTTGGACAATTTTTGGACTTTTGGGCCTTAACTAGTTTTGGGCCTTGGCCTGTTTAGGATAGGTGGGCCCAATTTTCATTTGTGGGCCTTGCATGTCTTGGTTTGGGCCTTTGGGTTATGCAGCCCGTTATAGTGGATAAGTCGAATGTGTTTAGGCTCATTATGGGTTAGACAAAATGGGTCATAGTTTAGGAGTTGGACTTAGGGTTTTGGCCCATGTCTTGAGTCTGTAACCTAATTCTAATTAGGGTAACTTGTGTTTATTAAGCGTGATATTGTAGTATCAGTAGCCAAGCAGTCAGTATTTACCAGCAGACTGAGATGAGTCTTCTCACTATATCAACGGGTCAAAGGCACTAACATATGGACTTCATTTGAGAATAAATTATAGAAGAAGGGCTATTTGGTAACTGTTGGACTTATTATGAAAAAGAATTATAGGAGCATGGGTATAATGGGTAAATATGGGAGCTGTTTTGAAATTATTTTAGGAGGGAGGGACTATTGTTGTCATTATGGCGAAGCATTTAGAATGGAGGCAGGTATATAATCCTCCTGAAACCCTAACCCTAGGAACCATATACCGGCCACCACCCTCCTTCTTCTCCAGCCGTCGCCATCTCTTCCATAGTCACCTTACACCATCGAGCTTTATCATAACTGTGCCATTCCGTTGAAGACAAAGGCCACCATTAGACATCTTGGCAGCGAATGATCAGAAGGAACACACCTGGGGTGTCATTATTGCTGTTACTGGTGGAATTCGCCACCTTCTTCGCCTTTTCTTCTGTTCCGCCACCATCTTTTCTTCTCATTTTCTGATCGGGAAAGGTAGCTAAGTCCTACCATTCCAGCTGTGTCTGCCGCCTAGTCAAGTTCGTGCCATCGAAAGTTGTAGGTAACCGGAGGACTATGGAGTAATCCATGTCCGTGGTGTGTGGGTCGTGAGCCACCAGAGAGTAAACTAGAACGATCATCAGCCCCGTATCACTGTCAACGATTGCGATGAGTCAAGAACCGACGAGGGCGGCTGCCAAACGCCATGACTGCAACTGTGCCGTTGTTGTGACTGTCGGACCTCCGGACGCCACCATGAGGTGGATGGTCATGTGCATTCACGAGAAGAGCCATGTTTTGTGTGCGTGTTTCAGTTATAGGTGTGTGGTTTGTTGGCTGAAAACCAAGAACAACCACCACCGTGGTGGTGGCTACCACCATAAGGGTGGTTGTGTGTGTGTGTGTTTATTTTGGGATTTTGTGTTGTATATTGTAATCGGTGATGAATTAATGAAAGGAAACTCATAACCACCACCGTGAGGTGGTAGCTACCGCCTCCTGTCGCCATCAGTCGTCGTGTTGGGTGGCAGTGTGCATAGTTTGCGTTTAGATTTCGTTTGGGGTGCTTGGTAAAATTTTACTAGAACCATAACCATCACCGTGAGGTGGTGGCCGCCGCCGTGATCCGCCGTGTGCCATCGTTGACCACCATTACCCGATGTGGTAATGGGTGGTGCCCGACTTAGGAAATCCCTAATTGTCCTAATGGAACCCTAATGGGCCTAAGGACTTAGCTTTTGGGCCTAATTGGGTTGTGGGAGGTTGGAAAGCCTAATTAGGGTTTAGAAAACCCTAATTTTGGAATTATTGGTTTGGACTTATCGGGACCCGCATATTGGGCCATTGGAATAGAATTGTGAATTACACCCGATCATACTATATGATTTATCTAGTGTAATGGACTTAATGGATTAAGTCCTTAATGGGTTAAGTGAGAAACACTTAACCCTAATCGTCATTTTATGTGAAAACCCTAATTTCACTTGGGCTTTGAGTTGGGCCTTTCTAATGGGCTTTAGGATAAGGCCCATTGGACAGGCTTGGGCCTAATTGGGAAAATTGGGCCATAGATGGGCCATAAATGGGCCTTGGTGATTATGAGATATTAGACCATCAGGATGTCAATTGTTGGACCAGAATAAATGGTTAGGCCTTATGGCAACAAAATGTAGATGTTGGACCCAATTTGGAAAATTGGGCTATAGTTGGGCCTCGGTTCATTGTTCAACTTTTGGGCCTTTGGATTGGGCTTTGAGCTTAAGTCAAGCTAAGTTAGGGGTAAAGTAGTCCTTTACCCTAAGCATGGACTTATGGATATGTGTTGGAACCCAATTATTAATTGGGCGTTATTTTGATGTTGACAGATTCGGGAATCTGTCATCCAGAAGTTAGGGTTTTGTCCGCGGGACTAAATCAGTGTGAGGTGAGTTTTCCTTCAGTAGGAATGGGTCTAAGGCACCAAGTCCGGCCCGTATATGTGATATGATAGTATTTGAGTGTGGGCGGGGCCCGTATCTCATTATTATCAGAGTATAGATATTAGTCAGTTTGTTGGGTTGCTATATTTGTTGTCTATGTGATATCTGTTTGTGTTTGTTTATGTATGTGAGTGTAGGTGGGGCTCATATCTCATTTTTATTCGAGTGTGGGCGGGGCCTGAATCTCATAGTAGCTGAGTCAAGGCAGGCCCCGAATCTCATAGTATTATTTGAGTATAGATATGTGACTTCTTGATAAGAGTAGATATACTTGTTGTATGTGTGATACTTGTATGCATGTTAGTAGTGGAGTGTGGGCGGGGCCCGAATCTCCTAGATGGTGGAGTGTAGGAGGGGCCTGAAACTCCTAGACAGCGGAGTATGGGCGGGGCCCGAATCTCCATGACAATGGAGTGTGGACGGGGCCCGTATCTCCTAGTTGCATGTTATATGTATGATATGTGGTAGTTGGGGAGACTCACTAAGCTTCATGCTTGTAGTTTTCATTTTTGATTTCAGGTACTTCGGATTTCAAAATAAGAGCTAAGGATGACTACAGTGCACACACCATTTGTTCACCCTGGGATGTTTATACTCTGATATACTTAACAGTTATGATATTTTGAGATACACTGTTTATGATTTTCATATGATGTTTGATGAACTATGTATTTATTAATGATTTAAAACGAAATTTTGAGACTGTATTTTTTGGGATATCTCAATGCTTTGTGTTATTTGGGAAACTCACTAAGTTTTTTCTTATAATTTGTATTGTGGTTTCAGGTACTTTCGGTATTAAGGGGAAGGGTCTGACTTGATGGTGCAACATTCACTCTCTATTGTTTTCAATACTGTTATTGTTACTCTGATACTTGAACATGTTTTATGGTGTAATGGATTTTGGAAACAATTTATGGATGTATTTTCCTTTGTGAAAATGCAAAATTTTACTTGGTTTTGGGATGTTACACAACACTTCAAGAAAAAAAGGTTTGACAACACAAACATAACCTTTGTGAGAAATTTATAAATAAATATTTAATTATAATAATGGTCGTTGGAGCTATTTATATAAATATGAAAAACATCTTAATCTTGTCTTGTATTTTTTATGCCGAATTTTATAAAACATTATTTAATACAATATCATCTATGTTTTGGAAAATATATTTATGGTAAGTTTTTAAATGATTTAATTGAAAAGGTAAAATGAAAATTTTGAAAATTTTCATTTTAAAATGAAAGTTTATTTTAATCCATTTTATGTGTTAAATTCTTTGATCCTTAATTACAATATTTATGTATAACTTTGCATCTAAAGCTTGTTGATTCTTTTTATCAAATATACACGTTAAGGTCGTACTATTTTATTTTCATTTTTTATATAATAATACATAAAATTTGGTCCATATTTTTTAATTATCTATAATAAAGCCATAAATATATTGAAAAACTCTTTTAAGTTTAAAAGAAATCGGTTTATGACGATTTTAGTTTATTTTAGTAGTTTGTAGACGTTAGAAAACAAACAATCTTCTTCTTTCAGACTGCATATGTTTGGTCCATTTTTTCTACTATAAAGGTCTACATATATGATCTACAGACTGCAAACATTTTAATTCAAAAAAAAAAACCAACATCTTAGGAAATAATTATCTCTCATCCTTACTTATTAAATATGATATTAACACTTGTACAAAATAAATGAGAAAAGCAAAAGGAGAGAGAAGATGGTTATATGCGGTGGAAACCGTTGATCATCCTATGAGCTTAAAAAATGCAATGAAGAAATAAGAAGAGACCGTATTCACCACAAAAAAAGCAAGCCAAAAGTTTGACTTGAGTCTACTTTGCTAAGAGAAGAGAGAGAAGGAAAAGACAGACGGCAGAAAGCAATCCTTCCAACCGCGGAGTTGAACACAACACTGACTTCGGCTAGTTTCTTCCTGCCCTTTATAGTTGTAATCGCTAGAAACTCGGCTACAAGGGAGAAAGAAAAAGGAAATTGTACCCGACCAGGGATGGACGTAAACCCGTAAGCTACCGAGGGTAGGGATAATCGTCCGGGTCTTATTGTGAAAGAAAAAAGCCGCCCCGCCACAGCAGTCGGGTTGCTTCCTCTGTCGTCGCCGGGGAGCTCTTGGCGAGGAGACCTTAGGATAAGTTGCTAAGTAGTGTTATTTAGTTTGATGAGGGTAGCTACCTATTGCAGGAGTTCCTGACCTGAATGGACACCAACTAAACTCTATAGCTCAATAGTCTAGTGCAGCTAATGTACGAAGGAAGCAAGAAGTCAGCTAAAAAGTATGAGAATCTCCACTGTTCATGTTATCAAAAAGGGGGTTGGGTAAAGCAAACTCCCTCCTTGAACGAGCACGGGCTTAGTCAAGTAGAACCGGGTTGCACTGATGGATGCTCCGATCGAAAAGAAATCAGTGGGGTCATGCCGGTATGTTCGTAAGCTTTCCCAAAGCTTCAGTCACTAACAATCCTAATCCACTTAGTCGATTAGCTGCTAGTCGTTCACTTAGCTTAGTGTTAGGGCACAAAAAAAAAGAAGGATGTTCATTGCAATTCCTACAACCACATAGGCCCATTATGGTGATCATTTAAGGCATCATAACCTAACTAATGACACACACAAAATTCATTAATATATATATATATATATATATATATATATATTGAATCTTAGGAATAGTAAACCTTTTCTTTATGGTTATTTGTTCTCTTCGACCTTAATTTTGTGTGGGGTATTTTATGTCATTTTTCCCATTCTTTATGGCCAGGTGTTGACACATGTTTCTTTACAGTTATTTCCACCGTTTTCCCCCCAATCACCTTTGTATTGCTGTCCACCGCCTCAAATAATCTACCTTTCATCACCAGCTCCATTCGATGCTTCTCGATTCTTTAGAGAACCACTCCACCTTGAATTTCCTTCTCACCGGTCTTTGCTTTTGTCACCGGCAGTTTCCTGTGACATCTGCGTCGCCCTCCCTAGCTGTTGTTTTTTTCCCTAACTTCACCGGTGGTCTCTCTATCTGAAAGCATTGAAGAAACCAGAACAAGAAAACGGAGACACGAAAACTAGAGGTACCAAAGGATTCACCCCACCTCTTTTTCCACCGTTCATTAACCTCTTCCATCTACTATATGGTCTTCTAAATTAATTGAAGCGGTATGCTTTTCTTTATTTGAGTTTGATTTAGCATCCATCTTCACCATATAACGACTGTTGGATAATCAACTTACTCGATTCTTCTTCTCTCATTTCTATTTCTGTATCAACGTTATTGCAGCCTATCCTTTACGTTCGACAACTTCTCTATTTTCTTCTTCATTTGGATTTCATCGGCCATCCATAGGGAAACATCGACTGTGACGTATTCGAAGCCGACTGATCATCGACTCCATTCCCTCCTATTCGTCGTGAATCCGCTTCCATGGTTGGTTCCTGAACACTCTTCTACGATGGATTCCATCGTCGCACACAACAAGTTGCAGAATCCCGCCCGATTCTGTAAGCCCTACACCCAAAAATGGTCCCCGTTCCTCGAATTACCGTTTTCTCAAAATTAGGGCTTTCGTTTTTTTTAGTAGTCGTTAGTTTCTTTAGCAAGTCTTCCATCTTGATCGCAAAATCTCTTCTCTCTCATCTCTGATATCATTAAAATGAGATGTGTGTTTCTTATTTTATTGATAAGAAGATAGAAGGAGATGAATGTTTGTGTTTAAGAGGCTAACTAATTGCTGAAAGAGTAGATTCCAAGGCTACTAACGATGATTCTGAACAAATTGACAAAAATGTTTTCCTTTTTCATACTCATTGTATATTTGAATCTGTTTTCTTACACTCAAATATGTTAGCGTGTATGCGTGTATTTCAATAGTGAGTTTTTGACTACTAATTCTTTATCAGATTCTCAAACATCACAATTTGACTATGTTCTTTCTTTTTTAAAGCTAGCCGAGATCAATTTTGTTCGTCTCAGTAGCAGCCTTAGAAAACATAACTACCAAAATTAACTTTGGGTCGTTTCTCTTACAAATGAATAACATTATATTTGCAAGTATTCAATTGTATATATCCCAAACTACAAGGTGCATGTGCTCTTCCATTTTGATGAGGCTAAATGATAATAAGGGTTAACTGGTCCACCATTGTTTGCAACAGATGAACAAATGAAGATTAAAGTAGGAAATCACAAATTATTTGATTAATCCTTTTGGTTTAATAACCAAATCGTGTTCTTGGTGGATCTTCAACTAGCTCTGTGTAGCAGTTAGTGCCAAAGTTGCTGATTTCTCTTTGGGTGAGTTTACAGGGAATGTTTTTTTGGACTAAACGAAACGAGAGTAAATGACCGTTTTTCCCTTTTGTCTATATATGTCTAGGCACTAACACAGGTGGAAGTGTAAGAGTCCATTGTCCATATTAGACTGCGTGATGCTATTGAGTAAAAAAATGCAATTCTTTACTTCTGGTAATTTTATTTACGAACTTTTATATTTCTTCGATCAAAATTTGAATTTTTCTTCTTTTCAATGAATTTGTTTGACTTATGCCATTTTTTCTTTGATTTCAGATTCATTTGGATTGGCACCAAATCCAGGTCATAACTGAAAAGGCTTGAGTTCATAATGTTGAAGCATATTTTCAGGTAATGTAACAATTTCCTGTTTTGGGAGTGGGGCTCGACAAAATGATATATAATATATACAACTAATGTATGTTTCTTTATGCAGGAGGAGGATGTTATTAGGCTAAAAGTCACTGAAGTTTTGATTTTAGAGTTTAAGCACTGTTTGGTATGGTGGAATATTGGAAGGAATGGAATGCTTCATTTCATTGGAATGAAATTTCAAATTTTTGCTGCTTCCATGTCTTTTGTACATAAAACTTGAGAAAATGATGAGTTGTAATAAAATGTGGTTTTACATTTTTAGGTTGGCATGGATATAGGTAATGACCATGTATTATTCTCTCGCTACCGTTATAGATAATCTACTTTGTCTTTTTAACAAACCAACATCATGTTAAAAATTTGAAGAAATCTACACAGGTTCCAATTGTACTTATCAGGGACAAAAATGACTATCAACTTTACATATATTTTCTTAAACGACAATCTTTATATGGTTTAAAGTTTAAACATGTTCTTAATTGCTTGCAAAAATATCCAAATATGGTAGGGTAGAACACGGTTAATTTTGGTTCTTTGTATTTGATTATTACATGGTTAGGATTAAATTATGATATTCAAAATATAAACACGAGCAACATATATGCATGTCTTCTTTGGTCAATTTATATACCAATCTTTACACCACAAGAATAACTATCATTTCAACTGTTGTCACTATCTTTTTTACATCACTCATTCTCAATTGTGTACATTATGTAGGATCTCGATGTTACAAAACTAGTCAGTCGTATGCCATCAAAAAGATTAGAGTTTGAAGTAACAACACAGGTTAAACAAATATCAAACAATATTGTTTATAAGTTGAAACTTCTGCACTCTCTTCTCTCATATTTGGTTATAATCTTTGTACCCATAGATCTATTTGATCTTTGATTTCTCTAAATTTAAATTGTAAAGAGGTTGTATAAGGCAAGAGTTCTCTTAATGAAAATAATACAATCGATTCTTGCTAAAATTTGTAACCTTTTTTAATTTGAAATACAGGAGCTCCTGTTGTTCTTTTTAGAACAACATCCGACCTTCAATCCAAGAAAATATATAATTTTGCTAATACATTATTTGCCAAATATCTATCTATAAATTTTCTCAGAGTATAATTATCGAGAAGTGTTGGAATCCTCTATCCGCAATTTAGATGTTGAATGACGAAATCGTAAATTTCCATGTGCACAATTGCGATTTGTGTTGCTTGAAGTGGGGAACCCTAAATCACCTACCTCCGGTCTCGCCGCTTCAAATCCATAATATGATAACAAACTTTACCATATTAATTCACGAAAATGTGTTTTTTAAACGTTATTATTATTATATATAATTTTATATGCATATTTTTCTTTGAGGAAACAACTACAAACAGTTACAACCAAAGGCACACACAATATCTTAATAGGATTGTTGATTTTAAATTCAATGGAATTGTAGAAACTTGCTTTTACTTCTTCATCATTTGTATTAGATAGGTTTGAATGTTGTTTATTCAAGTACAAGTAATATGCTATTTCTGCATTTAATTTTTAGTTAAATACAAAAAATAGCAACCTATTTTCATAACTATAGCTAACTATGTCCATTGTTTCATCCTCATGTTATAATATTATAGTTCAACATTGATTTCAATCCACATGCACCATTCCATCCCACACAACACGATTTCCGACAGCTAGTTCAAATATATGAATACAAACACATATTGTTTTTCAAATACAATTTAAACATGCATAAATGCAGTAATTTTGATATACTTTCCGATAAATAATCGATGGAAAAATAATTACATAGTCTGATTGGGCTTCTTATTTGGGCTGGGCACTTTACAGTTTACACATTCACGATTCGGGCTCTTCTTGATTTTATTTTCCTGAAAAATAATCCAACTATCACTTGTACGTTATGCTTCCAAATCTGTACATTTTTTGTGCTACAGAGATTGTGCTTGTCATTTGGTTTTTTTTTCCATGGTGGTTGTATGGCGTAATCAGTTCGTCCGCTTTGTTAGAACCATTGAATACATCGATGCATACAGGTACACATATGCATACAATTGTGTTTCTCTGTGAATTTGTATATATTCTCGTGTAGTTTCTTTGATTGCCCTTGTTTCTATCTTCTTTTGCGAATTTCATAGTTGCCTAAACTGAAAAAAAAAAAAAAAACACTTTCGTTAAATACCATAGCTTCACAATCTGAAGTTTGACCGATAATGCTAGAAATCGATTAGTGATGGTTTTCGTTCAGGAAAAAACTTGCTTCGATTTCAATTTGCAACCCTAATACATCAGTTTTGTTGTCAATTCGAGGAGAAACTAATGGTATATAAAATTTTTGGATTCCAGAAAGGGAGAAATATGATAATAACTTTGTTTGTTCTTCGATTGTGTTAAGCTTTTCTCCTACAGTTCAATTTTCTCCCAAGTTGACGTATCCAGTTATGAATTCACACCTCTAGCACTAATTTATCATATGACGCAGGGAAAAATCGTTGATCTAACAAGAAAGTGCAGCTACTAGTAATAGTCAAATAGATTTGAAGCCATGATAAAACTGTTTGATGCTCATTGTCACCTACAAGACCCCAGAATCATCAACAAGGCCCCAAGTCTTATCAAAACAGCCCTAGAGAACGGCATACTCCATTTTGCAGTGAATGGTGTCTCTGAGAAAGATTGGCATTTGGTAAAGGAGATGAGCAACAGCTACCCTTCTATAATCCCTTCATTTGGAATCCATCCATGGTTTATAATGGACAAAACCTCCAACTGGTTGAAACTCTTAAGAGAATTCATGGATGATACACCTTGTGCTGCAATAGGAGAGATTGGTTTAGACAAAGGGTCACGTGGAAAGATGATTGATTTCACAAATCAAGTTGAGACTTTCAGCCTGCAACTTGAACTTGCTAAAGAGCTTAAAAGGCCAGCTTCTGTACACTGTGTGCGTGCTTTTGGTGATCTTCTTGATGTAATGAAAGCTATTGGACCTTTTCCTGAAGGTGTAATCTTGCATTCTTACTTAGGTTCTGCTGAAATGGTTCCTGAGTTTGCAAAACTCGGGGCTTATTTTTCCTTTTCCGGGTTTCTTATGGCCATGAAAGAAAATAAAGCGAAGAAAATGGTGAAAGCAGTGCCTTTTGATAGGATTTTACTGGAGACTGATGCACCTGATGCATTACCAAAGGTATTGAATGATTCAGAGTCTGTTTTTTTGGTTGAAGAAGAAAAAGAGGGAAATGATGAAGAGCTGAAAGAGATGCTTAATCATCCAGCGAATATCCAGTTTGTGCTTGCTTATGTGGCGCGTTTGCTTGATATGTCTAAAGAAGAGCTTGCAGATGTGAGCTATAGAAATGCAGTGCGTATCTTTTCTTATGAAGGCTCCAAAGTGCAAAAAGGTTAGTTCAGAATTCAAGGCCTCTGAATCCCTGCTTTCTCTGAACCATTTAGAGATTTGAATCATTCAGCAGTAAATGGTCCAGGTTTATCAAAGGGCATCGTTGTGTACAATATTTATATTTTATAGTATAGATTCGTGTTATGAAGTTTGTATCCAAAAGCTATTTCTATTTTGGTTAATGCAATATTCTTAATAGAAGTTAATGATGGATGTATCATAGGATAAACTTCCAGATACCTTTTATAGTTGATATGCTCTTTTTACATGTATTTGGTATGCATATTAATTGGAAATATAGAAATATGACAATAAAGTGAGCTAATCCCATTTGTGTAGAACAAACAAGGTTTAAAACAGTTATGGTTTTGTCGAATTAATTATAGTCTTATAAATTACAAAGAATAAAAAGCTGGAATAGCTCAGTTGGTTAGAGCGTGTGGCTGTTAACCACAAGGTCGGAGGTTCAAGCCCTCCTTCTAGCGTTTTTATTCGTCATTGCAGTTTTTTTTTTTTTTTTTTTTTTTGCAAGGAATGCTAATATATAATTATAAAAACCCCGATATGAGATATTTATCAGATCAAATCTGGTGACCACTTAAGAAATCAATAAATGAGAACCAAAGGAACACAACCAATTATTTATCAAAATGATTAATGATTTGATACTAATATGGAATAAATATATGATATCATACGAAACACCAAATACCCATTACCCAATGAGAAAACAATATATAAAGAGATAAAAGGGAATTGAGACTCGCACCAAAATAACCATTGGGCTAATGCCTAATTGTTTGATTATGTGCTCTGAAATTCACTAGTGGACTACTAGTGATTTACCAACATATTATGCGAAAATCAATTTTTTATTTCATTTTTGTCTTATGGTCTTTGTCTCATGAGATGATCTGAAAATCCGTTTTTTTTTTTAAGTGATAAGATTGGTTTGAGTAATTATCGTAATTTGATAGTTTCATACCAATCCTATTTATACAATACGTCAATACGAGTCTGATTTTTGAGATCTTCTGGATGAACAATAACCATATACACTCTCAAATTTCACGAATGCATACTGTAGATTCGTTAGAAATTAAGTTCTCGTGCAATAACTTAATTCGAGATAGTTGTATCATAAATTTAGAAGTCCAGAAACTATTGCACAAATAGGGATGAATTTCGGGCTTAGGATAATGTGTTTGCAAGTCTCTATCTGTTCATAATCTGTAAATTTCGTATTAGTAAGTTTTGTGTTTATATTTGTTGATTGCTTCTTTATTTATTCTACTTAACAAATACATGATTAGATTATGTTATTTAACACATGGCTAACAGTGTTTGCGTATATAGCAAAAAGTTTTCCAGGGTATAAAACCAAAAAGGAAAAAGAAAATGGTTTGACAAGATTCAAATCATCCGTCGATCCATATGACCGAATCCGAATCAGCACGCTTAAAAATGGCGGGAAAGCAACGGAAATGCACAGTTGTTTGTGATTGCGCTCACACACATATACAAACTGTCGTTTCCTTGAAACTTACCAAATAGTAATCTTACAATCTATATCTATCTAAATCGACCTTAGTGATCATCGTTCTTTGTAATATCAACAGGTATAATACAAAATTCTTTTCACATTGTTATTCTCCAATTCGATATCAACAAATGTTACAAACCAATCACTTGGAAACAGTCGTCTACTTATTTCTTCTCTATATACCTATACTACGTACGCATTACACTAGGCGGAGTAGATTCTTCTTCATGTTATCTTTCTGCAAATTTTAATTGAATTAATGGGGAAAGTTCGGAGTTTGGGGTTAATTTTATTCATTATTATACTTCACGGAGCTTGGTTTTTTCAATTAGGGTTTTCCGTGACTGTAACTTACGACAGTAAAGCTTTGATTATAGATGGGAGAAAGCGGATTTTACAGTCTGGATCCATTCATTATCCTAGAGCCACTCCCGATGTGAGTTCAATTTTGTGTTCGTGCATAATGTGTGAACGTGGTTGACGATTGTGGATTAAATTGCAGATGTGGCCAGATATCATTGGGAAGGCAAAAGAAGGAGGACTGGATGTAATCGAAACATATGTTTTCTGGAACTACCATGAGCCTGTGAAGGGACAGGTACAATATATTAAACTTACATTTGTAAATTTATGATGATGATGAGAAGTATTTCTTGTATAAATGTTGTTTTTGCCTCAATTCTTTGTTTATGTGATAGTATTACTTTGAAGGGAGATTCGACTTAGTTAAGTTTGTGAAGACAGTGCATGAAGCTGGCCTGTTTGTTCATCTTCGTATTGGTCCATATGCCTGTGCTGAATGGAATTATGGGTCTGTTTTTTCTTTTTCTTAATTAGATCCTCTGGTTTAAGTTACACTTCTGTCCATATGTTTGTGCTAAATCTTAGAGGTTCATTTCTATAAATTTCTGAGCAGAGGATTCCCTCTTTGGTTACACTTCATTCCTGGAATCCAATTCCGGACCACAAATGGCCCTTACCAGGTACTCCATTACCACAAACAATGCTAATTTTTTGTTTCATCATGTTTTAAATCTTGCATAAATGTGCAAAATTTTAATATGAAATTATGGCTCAGGCAGAAATGAAACGTTTTCTTGCTAAAATTGTCAACTTAATGAAAGAGGAGAATCTTTTTGCATCTCAAGGAGGACCAATTATTCTGGCTCAGGTAATTCATATTACATTGTGCTCATAGGATATGGTTGCATCCCTTATGACAGTTTTTAATCCTATACATTCTATGCATCTTTTAGTAGGTAAATTTCCTCAATCAGATATATACAAGTATTTACTACTTAGGACTTAACAAACCTAGATGAATAGATGATCACTTCTAAATTTCTATCTCTGGAATACAAAATATTTGCTTATGATTAACTCCTTTCGCGTCTATATCTCAGTTTGTTGTCATATATAACAGGTTGAGAATGAATATGGAGATGTTGAGTGGGCGTATGGAATTGGTGGAGAGCTATATGTAAAATGGGCAGCAGAAACTGCTCTAAGTTTTAATACAAGTGTTCCTTGGGTGATGTGTAAACAAAGTGATGCACCTGATCCAATTGTAAGTTAAGTAAACTTACCTCAACTTATAATCAGGAGTCTGTATCTATGTCAATTGTGAACACATACAAACTGCTAAATTGAAAGCTCTACAGTAGACCAACCTTCTGCCTGCTGGATAGTCGATTAAAATCACCATCTGTGTGTTAATTCTTTTATTAGTTTCACTATTTCTTCTTCAATCGGTTCTATATCCTGGAATGCAGTTTGTTAATTGGTTTCTAACATAACAGCACATGAAATTGCAGATAAACACATGTAATGGGTTTTATTGTGATGAATTCATCCCAAATTCTCCTTCAAAGCCAAAGATGTGGACAGAGAACTACCCTGGATGGTAAAACTAACCTTTTATTACATAAAGGCATCTTCAATATTTTATATGATCATACAAAAGGGTATGTATGTCTTTTTCTTTAATTTTACTACAGGTTTCTTGCATTTGGGTATCCTGTTCCTTATCGACCCGTTGAAGACCTGGCTTTTGCTGTTGCAAGGTTTTTTGAAAAAGGAGGCACTTTTCAAAACTATTATATGGTAATTTTAGCAATCTTTTTGTTTATTGTTGAGTTTATTTGTTAACGTAGATGTATATATATATATATATAAATATATTGTAGTATTTTGGTGGAACAAATTTTGGACGAACAGCTGGAGGCCCTATGATTGCTACAAGCTATGATTATGATGCTCCAATAGATGAGTATGGTAATTTTCTGAAATTTTATCCACTGAGTGTTGTATGGAGTAAGTGTGATATATGGATATAAGTTATGCAGGATTCATAAGGCAACCAAAGTGGGGTCACTTGCGGGACCTACATATGGCAATAAAGCAATGTGAAGAATATTTGGTCAATGCAGATCCAACTCATCAATCTCTTGGTACAAACTTAGAGGTATTTTATAAACATATCAGTATGCATAATTCTCATAAGCTATGCATAATTCATCCTGACTCGATCCATTTGTTCAACAGGCAGATGTATACTATAGAACACCCGATGACTGTGCAGCTTTTCTTGCAAATTATGGAAGCACTTTAGATGCAAATGTGACATTCAATGGGAAATCATATTTTCTCCCTGCATGGTCTGTGAGCATTCTTCCAGATTGTAAGAATGTTATTTTCAACACAGCAAAGGTAACATTATATCCATGTTTTCTTGTTTACTTAGTTGTATAAAAGATGTAATTTATATATATGTGTTGGGTTATGTTGAATATGGATAAAAGGTTGTGGCTCAGAAAAGTATTGGTGATGCTACTACATTTGTTGAGAGTGAATTTTCAGTATCGAATTCAGGTTGGAGTTGGTATGTAGAAAAAGTGGGTGTTTGGAGCAATGAATCATTTACAGAAACCAGTTTGGTAGAGCAGATTAATACAACAAAAGACACAAGTGATTTTCTTTGGTACACTACAAGGTAATAATTCATGTCAAAATAACATGCTTCTCGTTTAGGTTTTCAAAAGAATATGATGAATTTCTGTAACTTTTTTGCAGGATAGAAGTAGATGAAAAGAAAGATGCGTTTTTGCTCATTCAGAGTTTGGGACATGCTGCTCTGGTTTTTCTGAACAAAAAAGTTGTAGGTAACTTCTGGCTGTGTTAACATTTGTTTGCTCAAAAGATACTTATTCACAACCATTATTTGTTTTTAATTTTAAAAAAAATCTGATGTAGCATTTGGTTATGGTTATCATGATGATGCAATCTTCAGCATAAGCGAAAAGATTAGTCTTGAACAAGGAAGCAACACATTGGACATCATCAGTATGATGATTGGTCTACAGGTGACACCATATCTTTCTTGTCTACAACTTATTTTCCCATATCTACACAGGCTTTAGACCTCAAAGACCACAATAAATGAGTCAATTAGGACCAATGAATATTGATGTGACTGACATTATAATTTGTTGAGTCTCCTTATTTTAATAGTTATATACTTATATATTTATTCTCCAGAACTATGGTCCATGGTTTGATACCTGGGGCGCAGGCTTATATTCTGTCACCCTGCTTGATCTAAAAAATGCTAAACAAGACATTTCATCTAACGAGTGGACATACCAGGTTTGTTGTTAAGTTTGAGTTTTAGGGTTTCTTTCACATTTGACACATAGTTTTGAGGTGTTGCATACTTTTGATTGCATTTAGGTGGGAACTGAAGGGGAAAGTCTTGGACTTGATAAAACAGATGCTGCTAATAGTTCCATATGGACCCATGGCAATGAAATCCCCACTAATCAGAGTCTCATTTGGTATAAGGTATGTAACCCTTCCATCATTAATAAGAACAAGACACCACTACTTTCAACACTCTAATTTTTTTTTTTTTTTTTTCATTATATATATTCACAGTCAACATTCATTGCCCCTGAAGGAAAAGGTCCTCTATCACTAAACCTTTCTAGCATGGGAAAGGGTCAAGCTTGGGTGAATGGACAAAGTATAGGACGATATTGGTCAACTTACCTTTCACCATCAACCGGTTGTACTGATAATTGTGACTACAGAGGAACTTATAATGCACAAAAGTGTCAGAAGAAATGTGGTCAACCAGCCCAAATTTTGTGAGTAATTTATATATATACACAGGTGATTGTCTTTTTTGTTTGTAATATATTGTCAAATAATATGTCTACAGATATCACATACCACAGACATGGGTGCATCCTGGTGAGAACTTGGTTGTTCTTCATGAAGAGTTGGGTGGTGACCCTTCCCAAATTTCTGTGCTCACACGCACCGGGCAGAAAGTGTGTGGCCATGTCTCAGAGGACGATCTGATTCCGGTTGAACTCTGGAAATCAAATTCCGATTCCAGTTCTCAAAGCCCTCAACTCCGATTGACATGTGACCAAGGCTGGAAAATATCATCTGTTGGTTTTGCTAGCTTTGGGAATCCCAAAGGGGACTGTGGTGCTGGATTTACTCAAGGCAGTTGTCATATTGACGTTTTATCGATCGTTGAACAGGTATCCTAACATTTTTCTCAAATGTGAACATACAAACTGTGTGGTTTCTCTTTTCTCTTGTTTCACTTTAAATATTTCATTAAGCTTATGTTGATGATCAATGCAGGTTTGCATCGGGAAGGAAAAATGCTGGGTTCCTGTTTCAACTGCTAAACTTGGGAACCCATGTCCTGAGGTGCCGAAAACCTTGGCAATTGAAGCTTTATGCACTGCTTGAATCAACACGCTTTTATAGCTTCCATTTTTGGTTTTGTGATGTTGTAACAAATGGTATGTGTTAAATGATAAACATGTCTTGGAAGTTAAGAACGTACAAATTATTTTTCACCATCATTATTTCACATTATCACATATACCTCGATGCCCATAAAACTGAGACATGTAATAGTTGGGCTGTTAAAAACTGGAACTATGAGCGATTCGCCACTTCTAAACGGGTGCTTTGTAGTTTTCCTTTCTGTAATTCATGGAAATAGCATCATATTTTACTCTTGCAGCCAATATTATTAGCGAGAACTATTTCAGCCATAAATTTAGCATAATTATGTTGTATATTTTGTATTTACAGTATATGTTCCTTATTTAGCTCTTTAGGTGATTAGACTTTCCTCAATTATCCCCTTGTAATCTTGTATATATACCAGCTCATATCAATGAAAGAAGCATCGAATCTCAAATACTTACATGGTATCAGAGCTAAGGGCTCAATATCGAAACTGATTTCTTTCACAGCCACGGCTGTACAGCTTTCTTCCTTTCCAAACTTCTTTTTTTCCAGCAGCCCCTGTCTTGTCATGTCTGGTGAAAATCAGACAAACCCTAAAAAGGCAATCCATCCCATCTACACTGTTACCAACATACAGACCAAAGTAAGAGTACTTGATGGCACCAAAGTCACGTATTCCTCCTGGGTTCGTTTGTTCAAACTACACGCAAAAGGCTACAAAGTTTTGTCTCATATTGATGGAACAACATCCCCTGCAAAAACAGATCCAACATATGACACTTGGTTAGAAATTGATGCTATTGTCCTTCAGTGGATCTATGGGACTATATCCGATGATCTTCTTGGTCAGGTCCTTGATCCAGATTCTACTGCATACGATGTCTGGTCCAAACTTCAAAACATCTTCCTAAATAACAAAGGTTCTAGGGCAGCAGCCCTAGAACATGAGTTCAATAACTTGACCCTTCAAGCCATGACATCCCTTGAAGTGTACTGTCAACGACCGAAGGATCTCTCCGGGCAACTAAACGATGTAGAGTGCCTTTTCAACGAGAAACACCTCGTCCTACAATTAGTCCGTGGATTGCCCTCTGAATTTGACACAGTGGCCGCCTACATCAATTAGACCTCTCCCACATGGGATACTGCCTGTTCGATGTTACAACTCGAGAATCAAAGACAACGAGCCCGAGATACTCACTCACCTGTGGAAGTCGTTGCTACTGTTGACCATGAATCAAGATCTAACCCACCGCCAAGACGTGGGGACTTCACCAACAAAGCTCATCCTTCCCAACAACGTAACTCCAATCGCCGATTCCCACCATCTCGCTCTCAAAACAGAGAAAATCCAGCGCCTCCTAGTCGCCAACAACCTATGCACCAGAACAATCGACGCAATCCTCCTCCTAGCCAGAATTGCCCCCCATGGTCCACTTACCCACCTCCTTATTGGGCTGCTCCTTGGTGGGTTTCACCACCACCATGCCCATATCCTACTCAGCCTGGTTGTGCCTCACCTTGGCGTGCACCTCCCACACATCAACAACAAAGTCGACCACCACAAGCCCATATTACAGAAGTAAACCCACTGGAACCATCAAAACTTGGAGCGGCTTTCTCGACAACCACTCATCTTACCGGAGATGCAGGTAAAATCTCAATTCCAAGTATGTCATCTATAAAATCGGTATTTGTTGGAAATGGTAATCAAGTGCCAGTCATTGGATCAGGTCACTCTTTTTTACCAAACCCACATAAACCATTTCATCTCAAAAATGTTCTTCACACACCTAACGTCATCAAAAATTTAATATATGTACGTCGATTTTGTCGAACTAATAATTTAACTGTTGAATTTGATTCTTATGGTTTTTCTATAAAGGACTTCAACACTGGGAAGCTCCTGACGAGACACAATAGCGATGGTGACCTCTACCCCTTCACAAAGCCAGAAACAACTCCAGCTTTATCTTTTTTTTTTTTTTATTATTATTTATTTATTTATTTATATATTTCATCTAGTTCATCCTTTTGGCATTCTAGACTAGGTCATCCAAGCCATTCTGTAATGGATTTTCTTAGTTCAAATAAACATATCTCTTGCAATAAAATTGATCGTTCTTTTGTTTGTCAATCTTGTCAAATTGCTAAGCACAAACGCTTACCTTTTCCTGACTCCACATCCACCACAATAAAACCTTTTGAACTTGTCCATACCGACTTGTGGATTTCACCCATTTTATATGGGTGTTTCCACTTAAATACAAATTTGAAACCCATGAAAAGATAACACATTTTCACAAACACATACAAACTCAATTCAACACTACATTCAAAACTCTACAATGTGACAAAGGGGGAGAATTTGACAATCACCAACTTCGTCATTTTGCATCTACTGTCGGTCTTCATATCCGTTTTTCTTGCCCCCACACTTCCCAACAAAATGGAACAGCCTAACACATGATTCATCGTATCAACGAACTCATGTTATCTCTTTTAACCCACACTTCTCTACCACCTTCTTTTTGGGTCGACGCACTACACATTGCCACCTATCTTCACAATATCCTACCCACCAAAATTCTTCACAACCGTACCCCAACCTCCGTTCTCTATCTAAAAAATCCCACATACGACCACCTACGAATCTTTGGTTGCTCTTGTTACCCCAATCTTAATGCCACACGCCAGCACAAACTCTCCCCACGATCTCTTCCTTGTGTTTTTCTTGGTTACCCAGCCCAATATCGAGGCTATCGCTGCCTTGACATATCTACGGGTAAAATTATCCTCTCCCGCCATGTCGCCTTTGATGAAAATACATTTTCCTACGCCAATACCACACCTACACAGCCACATAACTACTCTTTCCTTGATACTGACCCATCCCCACTTATTTACCAACCACACATCACAAATAACCAACCTACTATCCCAGCCAACCTCACCACCACCAACCACCTCTCCACACTAGCCTACTCCGATTGAAACCTCCCCCACCACTCCCAATCGTTACCCGCTCACCTACACTCGCCGAAACCCACGACAACAATCCACCCAACCACCACCAACTTTTCAACAGCCAATGACAACCCGCTCTCGATCTGGTATCACAAAACGAACCAAACCATTTAACCTTTATACCACCACAACCCATAAAATCATATCCCCACTTCCAAAATCTTACAAATATGCCTTATCTGATCCAAACTAGCACTCCGCTATGACTAATGAATACCAGGCTTTAATAGATAACAACACATGGGAATTAGTACCATGACCCAACAATGCTAATGTTATACGTTGCATGTGGATTTACCGTCATAAATTTCACGGTAATGGGAATCTTGAGAGATACAAAGCATGCTTGGTCATCAATGGCAAATCTCAACAAATCGGAATAGACTGTCATGAAACATTTAGTCTCGTCATGAAACCTACCACTATTCGGACCGTTCTTAGTCTTGTTGTATCACGATCATGGTCTATTCATCAACTCGATGTAAAGAACGCCTTCTTACATGGGGACATCAAAGAAATTGCGTATATGTTCCAGCCTCCCGGATTTGTAGACAAGCAACACCCAACCCATGTATGTCGATTACAAAAATCACTGTATGGGCTCAAGCAAGCCCCACAGGCATGGTATCATCGGTTTGCCACATACATTCAAACATGTGGTTTCAAAAGCACTAACAGTGACACTTCTCTATTTGTTTTCCAACACGGTGCAACAATGGCGTATTTCCTTCTTTATGTCGATGACATCATCTTGACTGCATCTGACACCATTACTCTTCGGTACTTCATTGATCTTTTATCCAAAGAGTTCGCAATGTCCGTTCTTGGCCCTCTCCACCACTTCCTTGGCATTCAAGTTCAACACAAAAATGGAGGCGTATTTATTTCACAGGAAAAATATGTTAATGATATTCTTCAGAGGACCAATATGCAAAATTACAAACCATGCGCTACACCCGCCGACACCAACTCAAAGCTTAGTGCCACCATCAACAAACCAATGCAAGATGTCTCTCTATACCGTAGCCTCGCCGGAGCCCTCCAATATTTAACTTTTACCCGCCCGGACATTGCTACGCCGTTCACCAAGTCTGTCTCTTTATGCATGCACCAAGAGAACCTCACTACAATTTCTTAAAACGCATTCTGAGATATCTAAAAGGCACCACCAATCATGGCCTCCACATCAATCCCTCCAAGTCTACTAAACTTACCGCTTACTTTGACGTTGACCGGGGGGTTGTTCGGACTCACGCCGCTCCACGTCCGGCTATTGCGTATTCCTTGGCGACAACCTTATCTCATGGTCATCCAAACGACAACATACTATCTCCCGATCAAGTATTGAAGCTGAATACAAAGGAGTCGCAAATACAACAGCTGAAACAACATGGCTTTGAAAACTTCTCGAACTCCATCTCTCGTTGCGCCAAGCCACAATCATCTACTGTGATAACATTTCAACGGTCTACCTTACACAAAACCCGGTTCAACATCAACGCACCAAACATGTTGAAATCGATTTCCACTTTGTTCGAGAAAAAGTGCGTATGGGTTCCGTACGTGTCCTTCACATCCCAACAGATTACCAATATGCATATATTTTCAGAAAGGGATTGCCACGTCAACTCTTCACCTGTTTCCGCTCCAGTCTCTCTATTCGACCATCTACAGATTCGAGTGCGGGGGAGTATTAAAGAGAACTATTTCAACCATAAATTTAGCATAATTATGTTTTATATTTTTTATTTACTGTACAATATATGTTCCTTATTTAGCTCTTTAGGTAATTAGACTTTCCTCAATTAACCCCTTGTAATCTTGTATATATACCGGCTCATATCAATGAAAAAAGCATTGAATCTCAAACGCTTACAAATATATGTAATACGCTTTAGTTTATATCCGTTATATATTTTTTCTCATAATAGAAAGTACTAACACTATTTGATGTATAGTAGCAATATGTAATATATAACCTGAAACTTGTAAAACACATACAAGTTTCATGTTATATTTTGCTATTACGGATAAAGAATTGTAAGTACACTGATATGATGGAGAAGGGCATCTCCAACCCGACACTAACACCTATATATTACACCAACCACCAAACTTGGTGTTGTTGAATAGTATAACACAATATATATTGTTATACTTTTCATTAACACCAAATATAGGTTTAAAGTTAGATTAGTATAAATTGGTCCTTCAACTTTGAACTTATATATTTTCATTTTATTGTTTGTATAATAATAACCTATACTTAATATCATCACGTGTTTTGTTATTTAATTGTTGTTTCAATAATATGATAACTAATTATATACAGATAATTTATTTTGGTTATAAATGTTTAATAATAAAATTTATAAAGTAATTGTAATAAAAAGATGAGTTAAGTTTGTAAAAAGTTAATATATATATATATATATATATATATATATATATATATATATATATATATATATATATATATATATAAAGGTTTTTCTTGAAAAACTCTAAAAGTTTGATAAAGAAGAATATTATTAGAATATTCTATTTGGTGTTAAATATCGTGTAACCGGTTAAACATGATTTATCATTTGCAGTTTTACATTATATTTTACACATCTATTTTAGAATTTAATGTGAAATTTAATGTTAACAATTGTAGATGATCTAAGGAGTTGTAAATACTCTCCAATTATGATATTATTAGTTTACATGCTAATGTTATTGGTAAAAATATAAGTAGTATTGCTGCAAGACCATTTATTACCCTTCAACACAATTTGTTATTAGATATTTGTATTATTGACAAAAACGTAAGTACTAATATGAAATCACATTTGTTGAGAGTTAAAAAGTTGTTTGTGCATTTAATATATAAATGATTTTCTAATATGTGCCCTAAGAACACATATAAGAAATATTAATTAATCATAATTATTACCATAATTAAATATTAAATATATTAATTATAAAAATATTACCATAATTAAATGTTCATTAATAATTTCCATAAATAATGCATTTCATATTTAATTATGGTAGTATTTTTCATAATTAATATTTCTTATATGTACCCTTAGGGCACATATTAGAAAATCCCAATATATAAAGGGATATGAACTACAAAAGTTTGTATGCTTTATTTCGTACTCTAAACTGAAATGGGTACAAAACTATAGATTTTATAAGTACCTTTCAATAAAGTTAAATGGATAAGACTCTAAGTCATCTTCAATACTCGAAATTAATAATAATAATAATAATAATAATAATAATAATAATAATAATAATAAAACAACATATATTCTCTTTCATTTCACATAGTTACATAATTTTGAAAGCTCTCTCGCCTAATTTCTTCAATAACGAAAATTCTAAACATTAAGTACTCATATTAACTCTTCATCCTGGGTTCTTTATCTTTGAGATTTATTTACTTATGAGTATTTGACTAGTGTGCATGATTTACCATCTTAAACTTGAAATTTTACAAATGTTCATGCATTTTATCATGTCTACACAAAGGTTTCCGTTCTACCATATATAACCACTTTTGTATTTTCTTTATCCAACAAATGTATATTGTATCCCATAGTTTCCATATTAATGTAAATTTTAATATGTGATGTTTATAAATCAAACCTAGATAAACTCTAATATCACTTGTTGAAATCAATAAACGGAAACAAAAAATATCAGTACACTTCAAATTCCAAATTATAATTTCCAACAATCAAAGCTTAAATAAACTAGGTTGAAAGTTCAATATTCCAATTGATCTTCACATGGATAATAACTTAATGCCAATAGAAAATAAACGTCTTATCTCATAGAAGACACCAATACACAATGCAAAAATAACATACATTATATAAAAAGATACATCAACATCAACACTACTCTAGTCTCGTACAAATATGTTGGATGATCGATAGCTCATGCTATACAGTTTGGAGATTGCCATGTTAGATATTTAGGGATTTCGAATAACAATTTAACTTGGATGTTTCAATGGTCGTGATTGAATCACTTTTCGA